CGAAAGACCTTAACATGTTCTTTTTCAGAATGTTCAAATTGGTTCAAAGCAGAAACCCATAGACCTTTCTGGAATGGTTCATTGAACATCTTGAGATAATTGCAGTAAACACACACCAAAGGTTGCTTTCTTCTTCCTAAGGGACAACCCCTAATTCCAGTCCTGATTTTTCCTATTACGCTTAAATAATTTTCCAGCCCTAAGGCACCACTTCATTTTCTGCTTCATGCTTCTTTGCCTCCTCTAATGGATCTGGTTTTCCTTTCAGTGTTCCCACCTCTCCTCATTCCAGTTTATTTCCAAATGCAAATCTTCATGACCATGGTCAGACACAAATTCTGGGCGGTAAGTGAAAGATTCTCTGAATCCTACTGTGCTTTCATTAAGCAAAATTCTACTGCAGTTGGATGCACTCAGCTACTCCAGAGGGATTGAGGGAAGTAGGAGCATTTCTGTACATTGCGTGGGAGTGAGCAGTAGCATAGGAAGGGAGCTTGTCATCCTGCGTACATAATTTCTTTCTTCTCTCCCTAGGACCTGGCCTGGGCCTTCAGTTATTACTTACGCTACTTCCTCACATATATCCCGTTCTATGGAGTTCTGGGATCCTTGTGTCTCCTTACCTTTGTCAGGTAGGACAAAGAAAGCCAGTGTGGTGTTGCGGCTAGAGTGTCACACTAGGACTGGGGAGACCCAACGTCAAATTTGTCTTAAGCCATTAAACCAAGGGTGACCTGGGTCCACTCGCTTTCTTGAAGCCCAGTTTTCCTCACAGGGATGTTGTGAGGATAAAGGTGGGGGAGAGAGAATGTGTTTTGCAGTTACCAAGCAATGAAGAAATCTGTGTGAACCATTTCAGTATTTCTCATTGCCTTAATTAGCATTCCTACTGTTATCATCCCTGGAGTGAAGGGAGAAGGAAACTGTATACTCTGCAAAAGATTCAAGCCGCCTCCTTTACCACTATTGTCCTCAGAAGAAAATGTCATAAATGCAGGGCAGTATAAAGCTGGGGTGCATTTTTTGTTGCAGATTTTCATAGCTAGGGTGAGAAGACCAGTGTAGTATAGTCAACAGAGAGACACAGGTTGAAATCCCTAATCAGCCTTAAAGCTCACAGGGTGATCCTGAGCCAGTGACACTCTCAGCCTAATCTACCTCACAGTATTTTTTTTTTAATATAAAGAGATGTGGGGGAAACTATGTGCACCACCCTGAGCTCCTTGGAGGAAGGAATTCATGGCGCAGCAGTAGAAATCCGCTATGCATGTGGCAGGTCCTAGGTTCAGTCCCCAGCATCTCCAGTTGAAAGGATCAGGTAGCAGATAATGGCCCTGGTCACACAGGAGGATTTGCCCTGCAAGAGGGACAGATCGGGGGCACATCAAGCGGGGCGCGATCACACCGCAACATCTGGGAAGCGGCACGCACCCGTCCCCGATCCGTCCCTTCGGCCCACAAACGCGCATCAAAAAGGTAGTAGCAACAGAGCACTACCTTACGGATGATGTGCGGCAACGGAAGGCGTCTGGTCGAGGAAGCGCTGGTAGCCCATCGCAGCCAGCGCCATTCCCCGTCCCACGCATGCGCATGACCGTGCTATTGCTGGTTTGCTGCACAACAGTATGATCGACTGCCGGAGCAGGGAGCTGCGGAGGCACATTGGATCATGCTCCCACGGTTCTTTTTGCTCTGGCTCTAATTTGCCTCCCTTTGGCAGCGGCTCATCCCACTCATGTGACCGGGACCAATGTGAAAGACCTCTTCCTGGGGCTCTGGGGGGAGCTGCTTCCAGCCTGAGTAAACAATACGACCCTGATAGATCAATGGACCTGACTAAGTATAAGGCACTTTCATGTAATATGGTCAAGAAATAATAATAGCTGTGCTGTTTCTTCACCGAGTTGAGAAAGTTTCATCCTCTGGTTAAAACAGAACGCTGGCCATTCTGTAGCCTTCCTACATTATCATCTTTCTAGGACTTCCTAGAGTTCTTTTTGGACTCATTTACACCATCAGCTGTTGTGAGATAGATGATTATTGCTTCATTTCTCTTTATGATCGTGGGAATAAACACAGGCTGAAACTGAGAGAAAGGACTTCTGGCTCGTTAAGGACTATACTTGGCTCTGTTTCATTTCACAATCTTTGACCATAAACGATATCAGAGTCACTGCCTTCAACTGATAGAGGCATTCAGTGACATGAAAGCAGCGCTTGCAGTTAATAAAACTGGTTAGAAGAACTGGAATCTGTCAAGAACCCAAGCCTGGGTCCCTCTTGGTCACCACTTCTTTTGCAAGTGAGCAGCACCTAGCCCCATGGATCGTTGTGGTTAAATGCACACAAATAAAACAGACCTTTGTAACAATGGATAAAGGTTTATTAAATAGACTTTTAAAAGACATTATGCAGCACAGTCTCCACCAGTCGACAGGCTGCTCTCAACAGTACGCCCAACCACGTGCAGCCTTGATCCGTGCCCTTCATGGCTTATAAAAGCGGGCCATGAGGGGTTTTGAGGTGCCCTCAGGGATATTATCAACAAGTCCCTTGCTGAGGGACTATTCCCGGGGGCACTCAAGGAAGCGATTCAGTTGCAGAGCTTTATGGATGACACTTCCATGCTAGACCCTTTCCAGTCCAGCTTTCGTCCAGGCCATGGGACAGAGACTGCACTGGTCGCCCTCACAGACGACCTCTGGAGGCATCTGGATTGGGGCATCATGGCGGTACTGTTGCTGTTGGACCTGTCGGCGGTGTTCGACACAGTTGACCATCAGTTACTGGTCCACCGCCTCGCCAACACTGGGATTCAGGGGCTTGCCTTACAATGACCTGTCTCCTTTCTCCAAGGTCAGGGACAGAGGGTGGCGCTAGGGGAGCAGAGGTCCCAGAGGTACCTACTGGCTTGCGGGGTTCCCCAAGGGACGGTGCTCTCCCCAATATTATTCAACATCTACATGCGCCCCCTTGCCCAGATTGCCCGGAGGCACAGGCTAGGGTGTCACCAATACGCAGATGACACCCAGCTATATCTGTTGCTGGGTGGCCAGCCTGACTCTTCCCCAGATGACCTGGCACTTCAGGACGTGGCTGGCTGGCGTAGACTGAGCCAATTGAAATTGAATCCGGCAAAGGTGGAGGTCCTGTGCCTGAGTCAGAGCGGGTCGGGGGTAGGGATCCCATTACTGACCTTGGATGGGGCGCCATTGGTGCCAGCACTGAGGGTCAGGAGTTTGGGAGTGCTCCTGGATGCCTCCTTAACAATGGAGGCCCAGGTGGCAGCCACTGCCAAGGCAGCCTTTTACCACCTACGGCTGATTAGGCAGTTGGTTCCCTTCCTCGAACGCAATGACCTGGCAATGGTGATCCATGCTATAGTCACCTCGAGATTGGACTACTGCAATGCTCTCTACATGGGGCTGCCCTTGTCCCAAATCTGGAATCTGCAGCTAGTGCAAAATGCAGCAGCCAGGCTGCTGATGGGTCTCTATATACAAGAGCACATACGGCCTGTGCGGAAGGCATTGCACTGGCTGCCAATAGCATACCAGATTCGCTTCAAGGTGCTGTTTTTGACTTTTAAAGCTGTACATGGTCGGGGGCCTGCCTACCAGAGGGACCGCCTTTCTCCACATGTCCCCCAGAGAGCACTGAGGTCAGGGTCGCAAAACCGCCTGACTCTCCCTGGTCCGAAAGATGCCAGATTGGACATCACCAGTGCTAGGGCCTTTTCAGTGGCAGCTCCACACTGGTGGAATGAGCTCCCGGAAGACATCAGGGCCCTGCGGGACCTTCTACAGTTCCGCAGGGCCTGTAAAACGGTGCTTTTCCACCAGGCCTTCGACTAGGAGCCACCACTGATGAATGAGCTATTAAAAACTGAACTGTTAAGGCCCTCATGTTACTGGCATTAAGAACAACTTTGGATACTGGCCTAGCTACATCGGACCACCTTTCAGCAATCGCCATCTGCACTTAACTGCATTTTTATGTATATCGTTTATGCGAAAATTTATAGTATTGCACTTATGCATCTGTGTTTTATTGTATTTTAACCTGTTGTACACCGCCTTGAGCCTGCCTGTGCAGGCAAGGCGGGATATAAATCAAAATTAATAAATAATGAATAAATAATTAGTAGCGAAGAAAACAACAAAGCTAATACGTTCAATATCTGGTATTAGATGGCACACCTTCTTAGAATACGAAAGTCCAAGCTAGAAGCTTAAGCATTCTCTACGCAGCTGTCCATCACGATGTAGCATAACATAGCAAGAGCCTGGCAAAATCAAAGTTAACATGGCTTCCCTCTGGCCTAATTATAGCCTTTTGCTGTCTGGCACCAGGTAGTCTCCCAAACTGAATCAGGGAGCTTGCTTGATGGAACTATCCTTAAGATGTTGACATCCACTCCTGCTTCCCCCCTCCCATCCAGTTACACAGTTGAACACAGGTTCTTACAATTAACCAGTTGCCACATTCTTGAATCCAGCCTTGAAAGAGGATAATGTCAGCAGGAAAGCAGGAAGGCCCAGTTATGGACACCTGCAAGAGACCTGCTAATTATAATGTTAACCCTTGAGGGGAATCAGGGTGGTTTGCCTCACAGAATCTTCTATAAATGAAAAAGGATCACTCTTTCAGAAGAAAAATGCTGAATTCACAGGCTCTGAAGGTGCTTCACACATCTCAGACAAAAGCCCTGTTTTCTGGAGGAACTATAATGAGGGGGATGACCAACAATGAAGGCTGTTTCAGAAGTTGTACAAGCTGGGTCCACAATGCCCACAGCTTATTCCAAATCTCATAGGGTGTGGGTGTGGGAGCTCAGATCTTTTGCAGGAAAAACAAACACACAAACCATAAAGTTATTCTCAGGTACAAGGCATTTCTATAGCTCTTTCAAAGAGCCTGAGTATTTCTGATTTTATCCCCTGTGGATAGCTGCCTCATCTCTGTTTATTACACAACTGTGTAAATTAGCTTATTAAAACAGACTAATAGGTGGTTTTTTTGTACCTGTAAAGCAATGTGCCACACTAAGTTCCTGCTGAAGAAGAGACCCAGAGCAGTGGTGCATTATAAGAATGTGCAGATAATGGGGACTGTAGATTCTATTTATTTATTTAAAACTTTTATATGCCACCTTTCCACCCAAATATATGGCCCCCAAGGTGGTAGATGACCTGCATTACATTGGTAAACATCTGCACAACTTCCTTGCCCATTGCTTTGCCCAACACTGTCCCAGAGAAATCCGTCCACATCATCAGAGCTAAAACCATTTGTTTGTTTTCCATGAAGGTTTATGGAAAGCCACTGGTTTGTTTGGGTCACACAGATGAATCACATTCCAATGGAAATCGACAGTGAGAAGCACAGAGACTGGCTTAGTGCTCAGGTAAATTTCCAGTCTTGAAGGTTGTACTGTTATGCACAATTGCTTGGGAGTAAATCCCACTGAATAAACATCATGCTGTTCAATACTAAAATTTTAGGACAAACTCATTTAAATGAAATAACTGTGAATTACTGGTATCCTTAGTTTCCTCCCAAAAGAAGATATGTTTAGTGTTTATACAGGACAACAGATAGGTTATCTGACCTTGAAGTGCCTGTTTTGAACTAGGGAACTATAAAGCATAATTGCTAACATAGTGACATAACTGCTACAATTACATTTCCATAGACGACAAGCTGGTTCTTAACTCATGGAAATCTTTTAGTATATTGTTGTGGGGGGGGGGGGGGGGGGGGCCTCTGACTGGCAGTGGTAGAATCAGACATCCACATGTGCAAAGGCCTCTTTGGGTTGTATCCTTAGAAGAACATATTGCAGAGCATGGGGCTAGATCAGCAAACATTGCCAGAAAAGCAAAGTTTAATTCCATTTTATCTGTTTCCAAGACTGGTCATCATCAAAAACCACATCTGTCTCCTTGTCTTTTGCAGTTGGCAGCTACCTGCAATATCGAGCAGTCCTTTTTCAATGACTGGTTCAGCGGGCATCTGAACTTTCAAATTGAGCACCAGTAAGTATACAGTGTTTGGATCAAAATTAATTTTGCCTCTGCAGATGGGAGAGTAACTCTCTAGGGAAATCCCAGGGACACATGAAAGGAGAAGAGTAAGAAGACAGCAGTCCTTGACATTTGCCATAAAAAAGAGAAAAGAGTAACTTGGGATGTTACGGCTTTTGATATTGCAATGCTGGCATCCCTGCACTGATGACCCCCTTAGCCGTACTTTGTTTGGGTCCCTCCATACCAGCTTAGTGGTCTAAATGTGCTGCAGAATAAGATGGCATAGTCATGACGTGATACAGAGGGCTCTTCTGTTCCAGTCTGCAAGACGGCAATGCTATTTTCTGAATACTCTGCCACATTTAAAAAACAACCCTTCATACAAGTTTTTTAAAAAATGGCACGTGAGGGAGATTCTAGCGCAGCTTGCTGTGCTGAGTTTCTACCAGCAGGAAGTGTTTTTCACAAAACAGAACATCTAAAATTGCACAGTGTTGCACCATCTTTGGACTCTGTTTCCTTAGTTTGCTGTATTTGTAGACCAAACTTTATTCCTGTTAAGAGAAGCATAATGGAGTGTGTTTTCCATGAAGACTGCTGCTTTTATAGTTCCATTATGTTTTCTGCTTGATTTAAGCTTGTTTCCTACAATGCCACGCCATAACTACCACAAGATCGCCCCGCTAGTGAAGTCACTGTGTACGAAGTATGGAGTTGCTTATGAAGAAAAGCCTCTAATAAGAGCATTTGCAGACATCGTTGGGTAAGAGATCTGATAAAGATAGACAGTCTGTTCACCTGTTCTAGGAAAGCTAGAGCAGATGGTAAGCATCCATAAGGTCTACAGGCCATGTCCAGCCCATTAAGGACCTTCTCCACACACAGTAGCAACATGGATAGATTACTTTACTGACCTGAGCCTCCTCTGCATGTGATTGGGGTAACATGCCTGCCTCCCACTATGCTGCACTAGAATCAGGGGCGGATTAACCATTAAGCAGACTAAGCACGTGCTTAGGGCACCAGGGCCAAAGGGGGCACCACAAAGTTGGGGAAAGGGTGAAAAGGAAAAAAAAGAATGAAGATTTGTTTAAAAAAAAAATTGATAAAACTAGTGCAAATTGATCATGGTGCACCCTAGGGTAATCTTCTATTTTTTGTTGGCGAGGTGCAGTGTCACAGGCTATGTTTAAAAGTAAAATGGTGGAGCCAAATTCAGTAGTTCAGTTGGGTGGTGCGCAAAAGGATGGGGGCACCAAGATTGGTCAGTGCTTAGGGCACCGGTGAGCCTTAATCCGCCCCTGACTAGAATGCAGCATGGGCAATGGGCAAACACATCCATAGGCCCAAAATGGAATCTTGGGGTACCTTGGGAGGGCACACGATACAGCAAGTTTGCTGAATCTCGAACAGGTCTAGCTCTAGTCATTGTCTTGGTGCAAGACCTCCTACATACACTTCGGGTTCCATAATGGAAGAAAGATGGGATGAAATGTAGTGTATAAGTAATTATCTACCCTTCCTAGCGGAGGAAAGATAACACACCAGTGACATCTATGGAAACACATACCGCTTAGTTCTTACATCAAACATTCACTTAGCCTCGACCAGTGCCAGGGCTTTTTCTGCCCTGGCCTGGTGGACCGTGGTCCCAATTGAGGTCAGGGTCCTGCGAGACCTATGGCCTCACAGGACCCTGACCTCAATTGGGACCATGGTCCACCAGGCCAGGGCAGAAAAAGCCCTGGCCCTGGTTGAGGCTCAGTGAACGTTTTGCAGGGCTTACAAAATGGCGCTGTTCCCCCAGGCCTTTGGGTGAGGCGGTGGGCGTCCATTCATTGACCCCCCTGCCACAGTTGCTACAGTTTCTGCTATTGATGGGCTAGTGATAAGATCTTTCTAGCTCAGCTGCAGCCCAGTTGTTCCCAGTTTTGGGATTGTTGAATATTTAATTGCTGCTATGCCCATCTTTTAACTGTTTTAATGGTTTTTATTGCTTAATATCTACTTTTAATTGCTTATTGAGTTTAATTTATTGTTGAAACCTGCCCTTCACTGTATTGCATGTGGTGGGAGGTGTGCACACAGCTCAAATGGCCCTAAGACAAAAACATTCATGGGCCAGGTATGGCCTGTGAGTTGTTTGCTTCCTATCCCTTTAAAGGATCATCACCATTCAGCTCGCGGCTGTGAATCCAGCCACACAGTTCGTCCATTGGATTGGCATTTCCTTTTGCAGAAAAGAGGGGAGCAATTCCCACCAGTTCCCCCCCTTCATCCATAAACTCCCATTTTGACCCTGTGTTGTTTTTGAGGGGCTCAGTGGGTTACAGCAGGAGGGGGAAATGGGGAGGTCTTGCTCTGAAAAGTCCACAAATGGTTGAACGTACACCGCTGTCTCTCTCAATTCAATCTATATCACTGTGTTGGTGTGAAGATAAAATGAAAGAATGTGTACTCTATGCCAAACTCCTTAGGCAAGGCAGGATGCAACCACAATGAAATAATTAATGGAGGGACCCTATGCTGGACTCAATTATAGCCTCTAGAAGACTCCCAGAGGAGCTTAGTGCTGGATCTGTATGTGCATACAGACTATGTTGTAACTAACCTCATGTTTTTGTTCTTATTCTGTAGGTCCCTCAAGAAATCTGGAGCACTCTGGTTGGATGCTTACCTCCATAAATGAGGCTGGATTTCAAGGGGGGGGGAGGGTGTTGCTAGCAAAGGGAAGGGCTGGGGGTTCACGTGTGTATTCTTAATGTCCAATTTCAGTCTGTATCTGTGCGTACAGTTTGAAGGGGGGTTTCCTGTCTTGTGAAAGTGATGCTGGGGTGGGTTCAGGGGACCTGTTTAAAACCAGAGAGGTTTTCAGATATGTCTTTAGAGGATTAATTGAAAACACTGATCTTAACACATGGAGGCTGAAAACTGTCCCAGTGGCATGGGGGTCATCTTCTGTTTCGTGGAGGGTGGATGAGGCAGTAGACGAGCAGGAGGCCAGAGTGATTTTCCCATTCTTCTTCTCCTTAAGACTCATGGCAGTTGCCCCATCCCAGTCTCCAAGGCACTTGGTTCTCATGCACAGATACACCGGAACAGGCCCCTTTCAGGCAATGGCTACACGAGTTTGAACTGGAGAAGACACAAAGACCATCACTATCTTCTTAAAAACACCCCACAGAGACTTAAATCAGTTCAGGCCCTCCTCCCTCCCTTAATAATGCTGGTACAAAAGGAGAAAGGGCAAGACAAGGTGCATTTAATAATAATCATACAACTATTTATTATTTGTGGAACACCTAAAAAAAGACGCTGTACGAAACACATAAAGAACAGACAACACATAGAATGCAATTGAGAGAAATGCTGGAGCTGTGTGAGTGTGTGCATGCCCTCTTCTTCCCCCTCCCTCTGCAAAGGGGCTGCACAAACTTGCAATGCCCGTCCCCCTGGATCAGTCACTCTAGGCCGGCTAGGGTCTAGACATGAGTGGAAGCAGGCTTCCATATTCATATCTCTAGCTGGATGGGGGAGCCGTGCAGACAAAGGGCTGATACATACATGAATCACCAGCCAGGCAGTGCACGTGCAGCCTAAGCAGTTGCCTAATGCTTTATAGAATCCTTAATCAAGACTATGTAGCTGTAGGTTCATATTGGGGGTCCCTATCCTGTCTGTAGCTCCAACCTATAAAGGCCTAGAATGAATCAGAAGGTGATCTTTGCTGGAGTGAGGGGCTTGCTTTAAAGATTGATACTTGTTTCTGGAACCATTAGCAGTGATAGGATTTTTAGTAAATCACATACAGCATTTTCATAAGGAGTTAAGGTCAAACTACTGTAGATGAGTAGCTCAAGCCTGCATAACTAATTGATGGTCTCCTCGTTAAGACCTGTGCCTCTTGTGTTCTGTTAAAATTATTTTCCAGGGATCGTTGCAGCAATTGTATTTCCTTAACTGAAAGCACTGCAGAGGGTTTTCTCTACAAAGCGACCACTCCCATGTCCAGCTCTGCGACAAGTCTGTTACATAGGCCGCTGAGCGCTAATGTTCTCTGAATGTATTCCTGATGTGAAATTCCACAGATTTCTAAGAAATACCTTCAATATCTTTTCATTTGATAGACTAACAATAAGCGCAAACAGTAGATTGTAGCTCTGTACATGCGACCCCTTCTGCATGTTGACTGAATGAGAGAAAGGGAGCAGCAGGCACATGTGCATTGGCCCCACCTCTGCCTGATCAGTAGCTTGTGAGCATGGCACATGTTCTTGGAGGGATATCTGCACATCTGCTCCCTCCTCATGATCAGCAATCTTTGGTATGCAGCCCCATGCAGATAACCCAGTGTGCAGGGCTGCGGACAGAGCCCACATGCTCGTACCCGCTCTTCCTCAATGCACATTCAGTCAACACACAGAGGGGTCATGTGTAGAGGATTTGTGATGAGTACCATTCAGTTATTTGCAAGGTGTGTGGCTCACTTGACACAAACTTTGCCAAATCCATGCAAAGGTGTAAATGGCCATAGCAGGCTAGGCCATTTTTTCTCTGAGTGGCATTCCATGGCTTAGAATAATCAAAGCATAGAATTTCAGGAGAAGAGAAGCAATTAACAATCCCACTTGTGGACAAAAAGTGGGCAAAACAAGCAGCTGCCAGGAAGAGCTTGCCCTTTTTGGTCACAGCAGCAAGGTTTCTCTTTCTTGTCATTGTTTTCTTTGAATCTTGCTAAGTTTTTGATCTTCTAAGCAGAGTTACCCCTTTCTAAGTCTATTGAAGTCAGTGGGCTTACAAAAATGTGACACTGCTTAGGATTGTTCGTCTTTATACCTGAGGCTTAAAAACATTTGAGTCTCTCTCGTACTGTTCATGTCAATATGTTGTGAATGTGGAAGGAAAACTGGAGAAGAAGCATTTGTAAACAAGCACAGCTATTAACCAATATCGGTTTTGCATCCTCATTGTAGAATTAGTTGAATCAAAAGATGGCCTTCATCTACTCACCCAATTGCATGTCATTTAAATGAAAGTGGACCATGTGGTTTACTCAGATATTCTTGAATGGCTCCTTTCAATCTATCCAACTGTGAAAATGAGATCTAGACATCTAGTGTGTTTTTATCCTGCCTTTCTCCAAGAAGCACAGGGTGGGGTGCCTGGTTCTCTCTTTCATCATTTATCCTCATGTTACTGGTAGGAATTTGAACTCAGGTCTCTTAGATCCTAGGCTGACACTCATATACACTGTACAACATTGAGCAGGTTCGCTGTTGCTGCTTCTGATGCCATGTTTCCCTTTAAACAGTCCAGGGTAGGAGCATACAGGAACGGAGTTCCGGCGGGCTTCAGAGTGGCCACACCCACTACAGGCAAAACCTCTGCGAGCCTGGCTACAGAGGAGAAGGCCTGGAGAGCAAAACCACCACCACCCCGCGACTCTGAGGCAGGCAGGCCAGGGGGTGCCTTTCCCGGCCTGTCCAAGGGCCGGCTTGCCTGGGCAAGCCAAGGAAAGGTGTAGGGGTGTGACCTAATATGCTAATGAGCTGCTGTTGGGTGTGGCCTATTATGCTAATGAGTCCCTGCTGGGCTTCTTCTACCAAAAAAGCCTTGAGTAAAGCTGACCAAAAATGGCTGAGCATGTCCTTCTTCAGGCCATTTCACGTAATATATTTTTGTGCACATGAAGAATCCCAGCCTTTTGGAGCGCAAATGTGGGCAGTGGTTTCTGTTACTACAATGAATGAGCAAAGTCACCCTGCTGCACCAGAAATTGCTACTAGACCTGCATGTAGTTGCCCAGATCAAGCATGCTGAATGCTGAGCTTGAACTAGAGCAGACCTGGGTTCAAACCCTACTCAGCCATGCCATTTCTGATTGATCTTGACCTAATCTAACGAATACAGTGTTCGTAATTGAGGGGGGGGGGTAGAATAATCCTGTGTATACTAACCCGAGCTCCTTGGCGAAGGGCTGGATACAGATGAAACCAGTGTGCCTGCAAGAGCCCGCGGGGACTGCTCACATGGACAAAAATATATATATTCCGTGAGGCAGACCTTTGGTGTATAAGAGCAGTTAGATTGTCCTGGGAGACAGGCCGTCTACAAGGTTTCTGGGACCTTCTCTGTGTGTCTCGTACTTTTGTCTGAAGGCTGTAAAATCCAACATGCACCCATCACCAAATTAAGACTCCCAGCAGGCTGTGAATGCAGTGCAGTTTTGGATCACTTACCTCTAGGGGTTAATAAATGAGATGACAGTTGAATTTGCTATTAATGCCTATTCAGTGCCTCTGAATATCTGACAGGTAATATAAATGTTACTCGCCACTGGGTACCTTGATATCATAGTGGTAACTTCTGATCATGCTTTTCCCTCATGTTCCTACTGCGACTTGTGGGTCTCTAGTTGCAGAATTAATAGGAACAGTCCATATTTGGTAACTATTTAAACAACATAGGAAATGACAAGTTAACATGGCATTGTCATTAACACAATTGTATATTGCCTTAATCTTTCTAGGCAAGACCCAGCCAAAACTAAGTACTTTTAAATCCCACTGATTTAAATGCACAAGGTGTATAGTGCAATCCTAAACAGACTTGTACCCTTCTAAATTCATTGCAACCAGTAAGTTTAGAGGGCTTTTCTGCTGGTTAAAAGCCATGTGGGATGGAGGCTAGAATAATGAGGGGAGCTGGGAAGGATTAAGCAAAACAAAACCCTCAGGTGGGATCCAGCTCAAAATTACCTACTCCATTGAAATCGGTGGGACATGTGAGTGCTTAATTCTGGCCAAGTCATGCCCTCACTCTCTCTGGTTCTGTGAATGTATATCAAGTTTCTCTGCTTCAGCAGGGAAGGAGCACAAAAAAAGTACTGTAGCATCTCCTATGCAATCTTCCAAGCAGGCAGCTCATAATCTAAAGCTTTTTGATGTTTCTCCCATTTCTTCTAAATTGTGGTTCCAGAAAAAAATTATTGTGGTTGCAGCTTTATAGCAGGTTTTGGCACACCCCAGCCATCCAACCTCCTTGCAGTCCATCTCATTGGGATTTTTAATGTCTGCTTAGGTATGCCCCAAAGACCCCCAGAAAACTTGGGATTCAGCCTGTTTTCCTCCAGTCAGTAACCTTATTCTCATCAGTTCATGGGAAGGTTTACAAGGAGCATACCATTGAAAGGTTTTCATGTCCATAGGAGACTGTGCACTACCACTGTATCTAGGAAGTGACAGTTGATCTCCTGGTAGCTGTAGAAACTCCAGGCATTACTATTTGACACAAACAACAATGTTGCTGGGACAATCCATAGAAGTAGGGGCCAGTATGCAGCTGTACTAAGCAATTCGTTTAGTGGAAATGTTACAGTGTGTCCTAAAGGGAACAATATGGGGACAGGAAAGCAACTCAGAAAAAAACTCTTCCTCTCTCTACTAAGACAAATCCAATGGCTGTTTTTATTCAACCCACAGGGAGATTCTGGCTCGGGGAGGGGGTGGATCTCGGTAACTGAAATAAATGTTAGTTTTTGCATTTAGGAGATATCTGTGTGTTCTGTTTCTTTCCTTTCATCCCAGGAGAGCAAATCACTGACTCTGTAGTTAGGTTCATGTATTTATTGGAAAACTCAAATGCACTGGTGTTGATTATGCATTTTTATACCAAGTTTGCCTTTCAAAGCCCTCCCAATG